CTCTCTCGTGTTATCCGTACCTCTACAATTTCAGTGCAACATAATCCAGAGTTCCCAATTAACTCAGTTTTGGATTTGAAAACAAACGAGTAGATGGCAATCTGGCCAATTTGACGAGTTGTAACCTGGTACTAGAGATAGTGCTCACTTAAGATGCCTAATAAATTAATGATTATGTTCTAAGTCACCTTTCCGATATTACGATATGGAGCTTAAAAATTGGTACTAAAAGATCACTCAATCAACCTCATATAAAAAACGTGAATACTTAAACCCAATCACAATAAAATGATATAATAATTGTTATATAAGAAACTACTTACTCACAGACCGCATCTTGGGCACGTTTCAGACGTTCTTTTACAGCATTGTCAAAAGCCATTATTTTTTTCCCGAAAATATTGTCCGATTTAGAGGAAAAGTGGGCGCATCTGTAAAGACTATTGACGTTATGCTCTGTCAGTTGTTCAGGGGTAAGATTAAAGGCGTCAGCAAAGGCACAGAGACCTAAATTGGGCATTAAAGAAAAACGGCTTTGACGTTGGGCATCGGCAGAGGGAGAGAGAAGAAGATCCTTGTGAAGGAGAAGAAAGGAAAAAATGAGCTAATTAAAAACATAAAAAATATAAGAGGAAATTTAAAGAAATTAAACAGCTTTGTATCCATAAAACATTAAGTGCTAAAATTTTGCAAATAATATCCTTATTAAAATCATGATTAATTTAAGCTCATAGAAATTTTGATTTATTGCCCACGGTGGACTATGGTTTCGACCTTGCGAGGTCGCATTAGCACCCGCACCGGCACTCATTATACTATAGGATAATGGCCAACATGTAGAGGCACTGTCTAGGTTCGAATCCCGCAGCATGTATATATGAGACCCAGTTGGGGTCGAAATGAAAGACAATCTGTATAATAAATTTTTTAAATGTGAAATTCTATGGAAATAATAGGCTTAATCATACCAATGTTGGAATATTAAACTACAAGTTATAAATCATCTTAAATTAAATAGGGGAAGCAGATCTCATACTTAATTATCTACTTAACCTAGTCAAAAACTTTACTGAATAGATTGAAGATATAAATCAATGTATAAAGATATCGAAGATTAACAAGGGCAACTAGTGTGATATTCGGTCTTTAATCACCCAAGTACAATTAGATCAGAAGTCAGCATTAATAAAGTTAAATTACTAAATAATGATTTGACTCTTTCGTAGTCTGATCGTGTTGTCAAGGCGACCTATTTGAATACAACTTGTCCAAAGTCCTACTCTATAGCTATTCATCAATATTATATCCTCGTATAACCCCTTCGTTATCACAATTTATTATTTCCTTATTTAAATGTGGTATTCTGTGCTCTTTTGAGCGGATTTCATGAGAACTCTCTACACCTCACTCTGGCTTTCTCATCCCTCTTTATCTTTGTGCCGGGAATGCTGATCGGAGTCTGCAATATTATTCCACAGTTGTCTTCTTATAGGTCTCCCTCTTGGTTCGTAGAATCCGCGTCCTACTTTCATGATTCAAGTATTTCTCTCGACCCAC